CCCTGTAATGCTCCTCACTGCACCATGAGGACAAACCCAGGATGTGGTTGCCTGCTCTTCATGGGTGTCATCAATACACAGCAATGCAGGGCAACTTTCTGACCTCTTGTTTCCACTAGTATGATCAGAGAGATCTTGGAAGTGATAAACCTCCTCCCCAAAAGCAATGCCTTCATATTTCTATTAACTTAGGTGTTTACATAGCTCACCTTAACAAAACCCTCACTTTCAACATAGTTTTTCCATGTTCAGCAAAAAGCTTTTGTTTGTAAGTGAAAAATAACTGCCTAAGCATTTACTATAATACATTAAGGTAACAGCCTGAAGTTTCTTACCCATATGAGAAAGCATCATTTGACCTCCATTTTGAAATAACTGAAGCTGCTAATCCAGCCAATAGAGCAGTACAGTCAAAAAACATATGAAAAGAATCTGATATCAGACCTAAACTGAAAGAGAACAGGAGAAAAGGGTTATGTTCCACATGCTACATGTTGAGTATGAAATAAACCCCGCAGACATTAATCTTTTACACACTAGCAGAATACACTGTGTTTCTAACCTTCAGGCATGGTTTTGCTAGCACAGAGGAGAAATCCACGCTTCATCACCAACACAAATATGATGCCAAAAGTGCTTTGGTCAGCTTTGGAGAAGACACTTTGGAAAAGTGCTTGGCAAAAAAATCTTCCTAGCGTATGATTTTGGTGATAGTGAAAAGTGGTTTCCACAGACACAAACCAATATCCCTGGAGTAGATGTACCCACAGCCACATCTCTCATCAACATAATTCAACTTTAAATCTTTGCCTTAGCAGTGGCAAGGCAGTGACTGGGAGATACACACCTCTCAGATCTAGAGGCTGAAGGAATTGGAGGCTGAGACCACATCTTAAATCTTATTTCGAAGACCAGCGCACAACTGTTTGTCAATCTTGATTGAGAAACACAGTTAAAGTGAACCAGCATGCTAAGAGGTTCAAAGCTACTTAAATTAGTTCATGAGTTAGCCAGTCAGTAGAACTTGTATCAGTTTGTAGGCTATAGGTAAACTGGGGTTAACACCACACACAAGTGCTGCCAAAGTTTATCAAATTACTCATGAACAGGTTCTGTAAGTCTGCAGGGAATTGTGTGCATTGAAACAAAAAAACAATGCTTCATATTTTAAAAGACATTTGATAGAGAGGTACTGTTGAGCAATTGTTAATCAACAGTCCCAAAAGTTCCATTTTCCCAGTACTCTGGTTATCCAAGAATAATTACATGTACAACTCAGTCCGTGAAAACTGAAGCACAAGAAGCAATTACTGGTTTAACAAGTTCTAGCGGATAGACACATATTCACATTGAAGTCAAATACAAAGTTTCATTAGCCAAAGTTCCAACCACTTCACATAACCAAACTATTTCAGCCTTACTGAAAACAATTAAAAGATTAATCTTAAGTGTTTCAGATTGAACACTCAACAGGGGAAGAAGTGGGTTTGAAGGAGAGGAAAGACCAAGTGTCTTGCTCTATATATTTATATATATACTTTATGGACATATATACTTTAACATACAGAGTTATACATACACACAACTATAAAATTTAAGGCAGAGGGATGATGGTATGGTATATTGTCCTCAGGTGCTGTAGCCACCAAAGCAGGAGAGATAAAGCTGTTCTGAACAAACTTCAAAACAAGACCCATACGCTGGATGCCTATGAAGCAGCAAAATGGAATTTGCCATTGAATTCTTCAAGGGTTTTGGCAACATCTTCCTCCTCCCCAAAATCAGGCAACGTATTTATGGAAACAGCTCATTTTAGATTTGGTTCTGAGCAGTTAGGAAGATCCAGTGAGGAAAAAACCCACCACAAAGCACATCAAGTACTCAGGTAGAAGGTAATTAGTGACAGTAACCCTAAGTTGTACTGATTGTGAAATGGAAGGAACAAGCATTGCTAAGCAGAGAGAGCTACTGCTTTCTGAGGGGATTGTGCTTTGGTGGTTTTTTGTTCCTTTTTTTTTTTTTTTAATAGAACCTTCTGGGAAAGAGAATTGTATAAGGACTGCTACTCTAACAAAATCCCATACAAGTTCTAGAACCAGAAATGATGCAGCAAGTTACCATGGCACTGTGCTCACACATGCAAATCTCACTAAGGCGAGACTTACCTTAAGTGCAACACCAATACAGCTGTGCTGCTTTCAAGACCTAAGCTAACAATTCCAGGTGGCCAGAGGCACGTGGATTTATCAGCAGGGTCAGCAGACTGCATTTGCAATGCAATTCACCTCATAGCATAACCATGCTCTGTATCATAGGTACAGCTACAAGACATTGAGCTGCACAAATGGCAGAAAGCCTGGTAAGAGACCAATCTCATTTCATCTGAGACTTTTTTGAAGTGACCTGTAAAGTAACAAGACCTTAGAAAAAATGGGTGCAAAGCGATCAAGCGATTCAGTCAACAACCAATACAGTGAACCAGCAGCAACATGGGATGCATGCAAGAACTCCTGTAGAACCAAACACATCATCCAGAATATAAACTAGTAGAAACCCTGTACTCCAACAGTGTCTAAATAAAGACACTTCCACAGCTGACTTAGTTTAACATCAAATTAAACAAATGTGCACATGTAGCAAATTTCAACCTTAAACAAGCAAACAAGCTCTCAGCCAGCAAACTCGTGACCAGTGACAGAACTCCAGGAAACGGCATGAAGCTGAGTAGGGGAGGGTTAGACTAGGCATTAGGAAAAGGTGTTTCAGCCACAGGGTGGCTGAGCACTGCAACAGGCTCCCCAGGGAAGTAGTCAAATCACCAAGCCTGACAGAGCTCAAGAAGCATTTGGACAACACTCTTTGCTGAGTTCAGAAAACAATCTATTTGGCAAAAAGAAGCTCAGGAGAATTTCTCATGTGAGGAGCAATGGAACTGCGTCTTCAAAATGACAAATTGATTCTCCCTATAGGGCTCCTTGTTTGCTTGTTACATGTTCACTTTTCCAAGGCATGACCTGTCTGCTTTGACTGCAGACATTCCTCATCATATTCTCTGCTACCCCTCTCTACTAAAGAGGTACTTGATAAGACCCTGTTTTGCTCTAGGCCAAAATCTAGACTTAGAGATACCCTAAACTAGTGACTGAAATATAAACAAAAGGTTCAATTAATGGCTATGCAGTAAATCCTAATTCTTAATCTCAAGAATGAACAAAAATAAGTGTCTTCTGAATTCCAGTATGCCATATTCTTCAGTGACAAAGTGTTGTGAGTGTCATTAAAGTTTCTCAGTTTAGTTATCTCATATACAGGACTTTTTAAGGTCACACTACAAAAAAAAAAAATTGTTATGTTTAAAAGACAGACATCAGAACAAAGTCACATGAACACAAAGCTCTTTATATCAGAACACCTAAGAAAAATATTTACATCTGCTGAGTTATTAGAAAAAAAAATCCATACTCAAATAGACAGACTATGCATTTAATAACCCTCAAACAACTGCAAAGTGAATGAACATAAAAGCCAAAACCAAACACATTCAAAATGGTCTATCTACCAAGATAGCATGCAGTGCTGTCATGGGCACAGACTATCTGGTGCCACAGTAACAACTACTGTAATCAAAGTTGAGGATTTTATAGTGTCATTTGAGAGATTCAGAACAACACTGCAAATATTAGGATGCAACCATTTCCAAATCCACACCACTGCATTCGCTCAGGACTCTTAAGAGTTCCAGTAATTTATGTCCATATTACAGCTTTTGGTAAGGAGGATTTAAATGACATTTCCACGCCAGTTCACTCTGAACTGAACTATTAACACAGACTGAAATATCATCATAAAACAACTATTCTATTGCAAATGACAGAAATACTAGCACCACTGCCTGTTCTTTACCTTTATACTGTACACCAGTACTGAAGTTATTCTGCATTTATTTTGCTACATATTTTTCAGTAGCAGTTTACTCAAGTCTCTTTTTTTTCACTCTTGTGAATTTTTGTGCTATGTAAAGTACCACTCAGCTACACAAGGATGTGTCAAATCCTGTTTCTCCCTCGAGACAAGGATGTTTTAGGCAGCGATATCCAGATATCAACCTACGGATGAAGCCACACTCCCCAGTAGAGAATCTCTGTGGCAAGCAGCAGCTACAGCCCCCGAGTCCCGTAAATCGGGCCAAGGCCAAGCTTCCTCCTCAGCAAAGCACCGAGCATAACAGCCATTCCAAACAGCATGCCTCCGCAACGCGCCGAGTCGCGCCCCCCGGCCGGAGCGCCTCCGCCGCATCGCCGGGACCCGGCAGAGGGGACGGTGGCGCCGGGTGCTGCCCACGAGAGCGGTCCCGGTCGGGGGAAGCTCTCCAGGGGTCCCCAAGGCTCTGCCAAGCGGCCCTTCCGAACAGCGGGCCAGGAGGCCCGGCCCCGCCGAGAGGAGACGTGGCACTGGCCGGGCGGGACGCGCCGCTTCCTGCGCGCTGCAGACGCGCTCGCCCCGCCGCGCCCCCGCCCCGGTTACCTGTTACTCCAGATGCCGTAGAGCAGCTCCACGAAGGCGAAGGAGAGGTTGAGACAGAGGAAGGAGAAGAGGTTGCGGGAAGTCTTGTCCGCCAGGATAGACCTGAGCACGGAGCACACCGCGGGTCACCGGCCGCCGGTACAGCGCCAGGAGGCCGGAGCCACTAGCCCGGCGGCCCGGGCGCCTCGGCACCAACCAGCAGAGCCCCTCCATGGGAGCTCGGCCGCGGCGCCGGCAGCGCCCGGCCTGGCCTGCCCTGGGCTACTCACCTGAACCAGCCCGACACCTTCCTGAGCAGATTAAGCCTGGGCGGCTTGTACTCATCGTCTTTGATGGAGAGGGGCAGCATCTTTCCGGCGGCGGAGCCGCGGCGCGCCGGGCCGGCAGGACGGGCAGGCGGGGCGGGAGCGCTGCCCGGCCGGCCCACACGCCGCTTCCGGCCGCCACCGCGCGTGCGCCGCCGGGCACAGGGGCTGAGGGGGCGCGCCGGGGGCCGGGCCGGGGCTGCGCCGCCCGCTAATGAAACACAGCACGCCCCAAACGTGAACTCTTCCCCGTCCCGTGCCAGACGCTCGCTCGCGTCCCGCTTGCGATGCCGGCTGCTCCCGGTGCAGCTGTTGTGGCAGCGCTCGGCACGGGGCGGGGGCGGCGGAGCAGCGCGCTCGGTGTGTGACAGCCAGAGCCGCCGGATCGCTCCGCCCGCCGCAGGACCCTGGACTACAACCCGGAGCCTGCCGGGAGGAAGCGCAGGGACGCACCGCAGGAAGCGGGCACGGCGGCGCCGCTGTAGCGCTGCCGCGGTCCCGCACGGCCGCCCCTGAGTCACCGGAGCGGCTTGTGCGGGGCCGAGCGGCGGGGCTGGGCCGGTACCTCCTCCGGCCTGCTCTGCCGTGCTGCCCGTGACCCCTGGGAAGCACAGCCCGGCCGGAGGAAGCGGCGAGAGCGGCGCCTGCGGAACGTGAGCGGAGCTGTGGGCGAGGGGCGACGAGCGGGGCGTGCGGTGCGGGCGGTGCTGCCGCTGCCTATCGCTGCCTCTTAACAGCGCCCCAGCTACTACGGGAGCTGTTAAGAGGTGCTGCCCGCCAAGGGAGGGGACCCCCTTCGAGAACTCTTTTTCTTGGAACGAGGATTAAAATACTGGTCGTTGATGTTCTTTTCCATTTTATTTTCGTCAATTTTGTGTTCTCTGCAGTATTGTATGATTTTTTTAAAAGACGTCCATGTGGCATTGAAATTTCATAACTTAATTGGCAAAACTTACCTGCATTTGCTTGTTGGAAAGTGCCGTGATGCTAATTTTACAACGCTAAATAGACGTTTATTTTGAGAATAGATAGTAATATCATCATTGACTATCACTACACCTATTGTAAGCACTAGAAGGTATGGTAAGCAAAGTCTCATAAACAGCAAATAGTATTTATATTTTCATTTTAAGTATGCTTTTAAAGTTTAATTAATACAATAGCACTGGTAAGTGTTACAACTAGGTTGCAAGCTGCTGAAAGAGGATCTGAGGTTCACTTCTCCAAAAGCACATTTGATGGGAATATAGTTGACCTCATAAATGCTGTGTTGTCACTGCTGCTAATAATTTTTAGAAGTCAGGCACGATTGTTTGTTCCCTATAAAATGAAGCAAGCAGAACAAGCAGTTAGCTTCTGGAAATAGTTTTAGTGGCCTCTTGTCACAAAGTAACTGTAAGATTTGATCTCAGATTTGGGGAGACCTGTATATGAGGGCATATTCAGATTGGTATACACACAGATAACAAATCTGTAGTTTTAAGAAGCAAATTTATATAGCCCAAACAAATTACTCTTATGGAATTTCACGGAGTTTCAATTATTCAACAAATTCTTGTGCTCTTAGCTTCACAGTACCATTCTCAAATCAAAATGAATGACTCTTTGGTTGTTTGGCAAGTTTTAAAGGAACAAAGATCTCTCCCAACAACCTAGGAGCACAGCTTTCCTATACTGCTGTCCTGAGTCCTGTATATCCTTCTTTTATGTGCTTGCACTCCTATTTTCCAAGCTGCCAAACCTCATGGGGAGATCAAAATGCTGTGTCTTAAACCTGTGATACAACTGATAATCTTAGTGAGAGTGTGAAGGGGATGACCCAGAAAATAAAATATTATTGGGATAAAATTTTATTTGCCTGACTGTGGTAGCCAAATATATATTTTAGTGGTGCCTGGTGAGCAAAGGAACACTGGTCAGGTTCTGAAGACCTACCTGTATCTCCATAGCTGAACTTAGGGATGGAAGACACAGACATTGCACTGACACAAAGCAGCAATTTTACATGCAGAGAAACAGACTGTTCTTTTCTTTTTAAACATCTGGTGTAATGACTTCTTTCAGGAGTGTTCATTGGAAGGCAGAGATAATTCCTGAGCATTAGGAAAAGGAATGGGATAATTGCCATGAATGCATGTATCAGTCAATAACTGGAGGACCTTTTACTTGTAAATGAATGCTGGGTAGCATGTGGATAACTGTTGATCTCCAGTTATAGAGTCCCTTTAATTTCCAGCAGATTCAAAGATCACAAACACCTGCCCTGTAAAAAGAAGCCAGAAAAACAATCCTACGTGGCAACAATGAGGTAAGTTGTGAGGCGTTTTAGACTAAAATAATTTACATTCATATTCTGAAGCGTGTTATTTGCACTTTGGAGAGAAATTGTTCAACATTCTGTGGAAAAAATCCCCACAGATACTCTTCTCAAAAATTCTACTTGTTTGGCTGTCGTGGATCACTGAGTTTGATTAGAATTCCCTGCTGAAAACCTAGAAATTACTCACAGAGTAACATGAATAATATGCATACATGAGTAATGGTATTAAAATAATATGTATAGATGAGTTAGTAGCAAGTTTAGAATGTTTATCTTCTCTTCAGTTTGCACTAATCTTGCAAGTAAAAAAGGAGAAAAGGAAAACTGTATGAAGTGCAACAAAGACAAGTGCCAAACTCTGCACCTAGAATGGGGCAACCCTGGATGTACAGACAGACTCGGGAAGGAGAGGCTGCAGAGCAGTGCCATGAACGCGCCCTGGGGGTCCTGGTCAGCGGCGAGTTGAACACGAGCCAGCAGTGCCCTGGCAGCCAGGAGGACATCCTGGCCCAGGCACAGCATCACAGCTGGGCAGGGGAGGGGATTGTCCCGCTGTGTGCTGATGCAGCCTCACCTCAGGGTTGTTCTGTGCAGGTTATAATACAGTATTAAGAAGGACATAAAGCTGTTAGAGAGTGCCCAAAGAAGAGCTATAAAGATAGTGAAGGGCCTTGAGGGGAAACCATCTGAGGAGTGGCTGAGGTCACTTGGTCTGTTAAGGCTGGAGAAGAAGGATCTGTGAGGTCTCACAGCTGTCTACAGCTTCCTAACTAGGGGAAGTGGAGGGGCAAAGCACTGATCTCTTGCCTCTGGTGACCAGTGACAAGACTCAAGGGAATGGCATGAAGATGTGGCAGGGGGTTTAGGCTGGGTATTAGGACATATCTAACTCTATTAGCCAGAGGGTAGTTGGGCACTGGAACAGGCTCCTCAGGGAAATCATCAAAGCACCAAGCTGTGATGTGTTTGGACAATGCTTTCAGGCACATGGTGGAATTTGGGGCCTTTCCTGTGCAGAGCCAGGAGTTGGACTTCAATGATCCTCATGAGTCCTTTCCAACTGAGGAGATCCTATCACTGTGTGTAGAACATTTGAGGGGCTATCTTTTAAAAGCTGCTTTTTAAGAGCTGTTTAGTTCCAAGATCATGAGGATCCAGAAACCTCTGCCTTTAACTAAATCTACACTCACAGTTAGCTGGCAGGTAGCACCTAGCATCTGACATTGCCTATTTCTCACAAGTTCTAGATGTATCAGTTCAGCTGTTGCTGAGATTGTTGCATCCCTGCATTACTTCATTTGGCATGTTTCTTTTGCTCCACCTGTGTGTTGTAACCTTAGTGTGATCAGCATTGCATTTTCTGCACTAATTACCATTATCAAGCAGATATACAAACTATTGACAAAATATCCAGCAAATCCGTTATAAAAATTGTTCCTTCTTTGTGGTGCTTGAGCAACAGAAAAAGTGAACATTTTATTTCCTCCTTCCTGCCAGAGCTTTTGAGAAGGAACCTTCTCTCCTTTTTGCTTCCCAGTTAAGGTAGAGCTCCTGCAATGCTGAAAACACTGAATTTCAGTACAAATTTGCTTTCTACTTTCAACTGGATAGACTTGGTGAGGTATGTAAATGTTCAATCAAAAATGTAGTAGTGAGAAAATAGGAAACAGTGAACATTCTAAAGACCAACTCTAGATTTATTTCACAAAACAATGAAATCCAAAGTTAACCAAAAAGACTGAAAAGCAAGTAAACACAGAAACTGGGTACAAGAAACACCTGTCTTGATAGTTGAAAGTAATTTGCCAAAGTGCTAAAGTTCTCCTTATTTACTTACTTAAATGAAAACGTACTTAATATTTTGGGAGTTTTGATTAAGAGAGAAAACTGTACATGGGTTTAATGACAACCTTTCCTGTTACTTGTTTCAAAGGTGTTTTCACTTCTGTAAGCTTCCAGGAAGAGTTATGGGAATCCGCCTACTGCGCTTCACCTCTGTGGTGATCATCGTCTTGCTTCTTGTGGCAGGTGCTTTAACAGCTTTGCTTCCCACTATCAAAGATGACAAATTGCCCAACTCGAGAAGGGAACCAAAAACCCAGACTCAGTCTGCCCTGGATTCATTTACTCTTATTATGCAGACATACAATAGAACTGACTTACTGCTAAAGCTTTTAAATCATTATCAAGCAATCCCACACCTACATAAAGTAATTGTTGTGTGGAACAACATTGGTGAGAAGACACCAGAGGAAATGTGGAATTCCTTGGGGCCTCATCCTGTCCCTGTTGTCTTTAAAGTTCAAACTGTAAATCGGATGAGAAACAGACTACAGAATTTCCCTGACCTGGAAACAAAAGGTAATCAGCAGTTCATATCACTATTACTAATATTATTTTCATGCTTGAAATCTGAATGCTAAAAGAGAGATGGTTGGGTTATACTGTGTAATAAATCAATGGATCTTTTGGACCACTTCATAGAGTGTGGGTAGTATAGAGGAGCCCTGTGTTATGGTATCAAGTGCACACCACCACCAGGCTGTCAGTGAAGAGTAAAGGAAAGAAAAGAGGAATGTCAAATGCATTTCAAGGTCTTTTGCAACAGTTCTCCATTTCCTTTATCAGGCAGACATAGGCAGTTCAGCTGCCCTTCCTTCTGTACCATAAACTGAAATTCAAAATGCATGTTGTTTGTTGAGTGTCTGCACTAATCTGGACTTAAGTCATCTGGTAGAGATTTGATTTAGTCCATTCTTCTTAAGACTAAGTTCTCAAGCATGTTCTGCTCTTCTGAGAAACTTCCCTCCCCAGCTGTCTGGCTTTCTATCTCAAATTACGCACTCTTTTATTTAAGAGTACTTTCCCCAGTCTCCTGGGTATTCATATAAATATTCTTCCTAAGCTCTTTCTAGGACGTGTACAACAATAAATCCTGTTTGTTTCAAGTGGAAAAACCCCCCATATGTTGCATTACAGACCTGACCTTACTCATGATTAGTAAAGGTAATTGTATTTATTGCCCCCTTCCTATCATGCCTGCTAGTCCAAACACATGATTTCTAGGAAGACACTGGAAACTTCAAATTCCCAAGTGTTTTTCTTACTGTAGTAAGATCTGTGCTAGATGTAAACTTTAAAAATTTTAATGAATTTGCAGTTCAGATCTAAGAATATCCTTCCTTTTCCACTTCCTGGTAGTCTTTTGTCTAAAACTTAAGGCAAAGAGTCTTCCTTCTGTAGTTAATAATACTGAATGTTGCCTGGGCAATTTAACTTGCTTATGTAGTATAGTAGTGTATGTGCTAAAAAAAAGTATCTAACTCTATTCTAGTTGTATCTTTACACAAGATGAGCAGAATTTTAAGTTGCTTTGCCAAACACTCCCAAGTTTTCTAACACATGCTTCTCCAGCTATACTACAGATGATCAAAGGTTGCTGAGTTTTGTAACAGCCTGGCAAATAATCTAAAACTTAGGTTTGCTTCCAATTACCACAAAGCTGTAACCTTGCTTTAGCTTTGAAATCTAATTATGTTTTATCAATCTACTTTCAAGAAATTGCAATTCAGCTTAATAGTTGTAGAAATTTTACATTTCATTTGTCAAATATTGTGCTGCATACTGTGCTCATGTATTTAATCTTTTCATCAATTAAAGTTTTTCTCTTATTTTCCTCCTTCAGCTGTTTTAATGATGGATGATGACACACTAGTCAGTGCTCATGACCTTGCTTTTGCCTTTTCCGTTTGGCAGGTAATCTTTTGCATCTTAGAAGGAAGTATTTGTGAGCTGCACTTGAGATTAATAGTTTTAGTTAGAGCAATACTGTATCACACTGTTTTACCATTGGTTTTCTAGCTTTAAATTTTAGATTTAAATTTAGATTTTAGGGAGTTTGAAGCATTGAATAGTAGAAATAGCAAAATTGTTCTTTAGTAGTATCTGTATCTGTTATCTGTAACTTTAAAATTTTAACTCTTACGTTACAAAACCATAAAGTTGCTAACTGCTTAATTTATTTAAATGTGTAGTAGTCTTGTGTGTTTTGTTTTGCAAAACACAAGAAATTATCTGTAAAGTTATTTTCAGTGCCAAATACCCAGCTGCCAGTTGTGGGTAGATGTTTTGTTGGCAGTATGTGATATGGAATGAGGCAGACTGTCAGTTTTGTGAAACTGTATTTAATTGCAACATTTATGCAGATCAAAGGACCACATGCCAACAATTTCATTCTTTCCTGGCAATAATGTTGTCCTCCTTTCATTTAAAAAGTGCATAATCTCTCTTATGAACACACTTAAGTGAACCCCACACTGTGAAATATGTGTTGAATTTCTTTTTTTCTTTCAGCAATTTCCAGAGCATATAGTGGGATTTGTTCCTAGAAAGCACATTTCTACTCCTTCAGGCGTATACAGTTATGGCAGCTTTGAACTGCAAAACCCTGGATTTGGGAATGGAGATCAGTATTCTATGGTGCTTATTGGTGCAGCATTTTTTCACAGTGGGTATTTAGAAGACTTTCAACAGCAGCCAGAAGCAGTTTACGCCTTAATAGATGAAACTCAAAACTGTGATGATATTGCCATGAATTTTCTGGTAGCCAAACATACTGGAAAGCCTTCAGGAGTGTTTGTGAAGCCTGTTGACATAAGAAATTTAGAAAAAGACACTAACAGTGGCTATTCTGGAATGTGGCACCGAGCAGAGCATTTGTTACAGAGATCCTACTGTGTAAATAAACTCGTTAATATTTATGATGGCATGCCCTTAAAATATTCTAATATCATGATTTCTCAGTTTGGTTTTCCTAATTATGCCAATCACAAAAATAAAATGTAAGCCAACAAATTTAAGGTGTTAAATGTTAAACAGTACTCAGTGAATTGTACTGAGTTCAAGGAGAGAAGAAGGTGTAATTACTGCATCTTGACCATCCTTCTTTGTAGCCTCTGATTTTGTCTCCACTAAGCTTTTTATGTATTTTCTTTCATTTCTAACTAATTCACAAAGGTAAGTTTTGAGAAAACTTAAAGAATATATAATAATGCTTAGCTGTGATAAAATCATCCTCTTTCCTTAAAACCTGAAAAGCTACTCTAATTAATTAGGTCAGTTCTTCAGAAACATGCAGACAAGAATGCATTCCTATTCTTCAGAGCTTAACATTTGGATTTTTTCCCCCTGAATATACATATCCAGTGAAATAAGGTCTAGGCATATTTGTGACAGTTATATTTTGAGATGCTTCCTTGCCTTCCCACTCCTCACCTGCTCCTACCCAGTTTCCAGTGAAGCTGTAGAAGAGCTACAGTGAACTGCTGGCCAGGCTTCTGGCCTCTGTACAAAACCCTCTTGAAGTTTGTATATAAGCTACTTGGTGTTCTGAGATGTTCTTGAAGCTGCTATGAAAGCCAGAAAAGTACCTCACCTTAATCTCAGATAGTACTTAAACCATTGCCTACAATATCTACTCCTGCTCGGTTAATGGAAAATTATCTGATGTGGCTTTTTTTTTTTCTATTATTGATTTGCCTGGAGTTGCTGAAACACTGCAAGCAGCTGAAGGGTAAATCCTAGAGGCTGGAAATATAAGAAACATGAATACATGAAATATGAAACTTATATAAGCAGCCAGAAGAAGAGGATGGAATATTACTTATTAATATTCTCTTTAGTACTTAGTTTTATTTTGATATTTTGCATATATGTTGTTACAAATATGCACCCAGGAAAATCCTCAATTAGTTAAAAATGTCTTATTTACAGTTCCTAGTAAGAGCAGGGTGTTCAACATTTATTACACTGTACATTTTGTAATTTTACACGTCTACTGGTTTTTTAGCTTCTCTTTCAATGAGTATTTACTTTTTAGTTCCTTTTTTCCTCTGTTTTGCTGGCTATGACAACAGAGTTGAAATGTACAATAAATGGGTAAAGCATTCTGAAAAAAAAGTATTTTAAGGTACAGTGGTGTTTGACAGGGATGGACTATTATCAGTCTCTGAATTCCCTGACATTATTTATAGCAAGAAACAGAGCTGCTGTTAATGGCTTTTGTTGGATTGGGACTCTGTAATTCTGGAAACCTTCTATTGACATAGACAGGGCAAACCTTTTCCAATGAAGCTGCACAAGGACAAGGGTTGGGCTTTTTTTTTTTTTTTTTTTGGGGTGTGGAGTGACACACAGTGGTTTTCCTGGGTCACAGAATCAGATTTGGCATCCAAAGCAGATTTAGTTTCATCTGCATCAGCTTTTAATTGATTCTTAGAATCAGTTCAAAGGTAGCTGTGGGCAGCCAGTCACAGCTAATACCTAGTACACAAATAGCATCTGCACAAATGGTATATAATTCTGTCATTTTTTGTAAGAAGTTAGCTGAACAAAGAGTGAAAAATATGACAAGTTCTTTACAGCAGGGTGTGAGTCTTTGGGGGGAATGAAGCACTCTTTTGCCTTGTTCTACCAGTATTAAAGGATTTGATTTTTGTTCAGTGAAGTCTTCCCAGTACTTTTGTAAGATTTAAAGGGCAGAATCTTAACATGGCAATGTAAAGTCTGCTTAATTTTGTTGTAATAGTGAAAAGCAGTTTTTAATTATTGTGCTGTAGTGCTAAGTAGTATACAGGTCTATGATCTTTCCAGAAATGCAAATTTCTATGATTTCTGTGCAGTATCAACTAGAGTTGTGAAGACTCACAGTTGTTGTTAACCTTATTTCTGAAATGTGAAATGAACTGTCAATTCAGCCAAACCTTAGTATTGGGCTCTTTGTTGGAGTGAAGAAGTTGTTTTGTCTTCTGAATCAGTGAAAGAATTAACAGAACAAGCTTTTAATGATACTGTTAAATTTAATTTGCACCATTGTAAAATAAAATACAGAAAGCAGACTTGTGATGTGTTTATTTTCAGATTATTGACCAAAATTTTTAGTGTTAAGATGTCTAAAGTAAGCTCACAGTTTGAATACTCATGAGAAGCACCAAGATTTCTTTTTTTTTTAAAAATGTGTACTTGTTGGCACATATATTCATTTGATTTAGGTAAGGCCTACTTATGAAGGAAGTAAAAAAAGGCATAAAATAACCAACAGCCTTAATCATTTTAGTCTTAGCAAAGAAAATACAAAGATAAGACTTAAGTTCCAGCCATAATTCATTGTAGTTTGGAACCAAAAGGGGCTGTTTGCTTATTTTTTAAAAGTGGATTTTTTTATCCCTTTGTAGTTATAAAAATGTCTTATGATTCTTTACTGAAAATACATTACCAAAAATTGTATTTTAAACGAAATAATATGTATGTGATTATTTCTGTGAGAGATTATCTATGTAATTTGGTAATATTTTGGAGTCTACACAGAATCATCACAACCTCTGAATGTTCTTATGAAATTACAGTTAATGCAACACAGGATTTTAAACATGGTATCTAAAATATATATTTTAAAAATCTGTGATTAAAAAAATTAAGATATAGCGCTAAAATGCACAAAAAATTGCTTCTTTACAAAATAATGCCACAAGATGTCACTGCAGCCTTGATATTTGATCTCAAAACGAGTACACAGTATTAATTAGAATAACTTAAGTTGTATTAGTTTAAAATATTCTTAAAGTTAGCGTTTTACAAAGTGAAAATCATTAAATAATCATACTAATAGCTATGACACACTACTGGAATTGGAAAAACATAGAGGTTATTTTGCACATATTTTTACAGGGAAGAAAATGAATGTTAGTTTATTTCTGATGCTTACAAAGGCTGCAGCTAATTGCCACAAATGAGAACTCTTCTACAATGAAAACTGTGTTTTTAACTTTGCAGAAGACATATAAGCAGTATATCAGAATTTGACAGCTGGGCTTCAGTGTCTAGTAATATTTGCCTCCTAGATTCACCAGTCTAGCTGGATGGGTTTACATATCTTAGGCTTTATCACAAGCTCTGTTTCTACAGGTTCTAGATACTGGATTCTAGGCTGCAGATTGTTCCATCTTTCCCAAGAGTGTTGCTAAAGCTATTTTAAGTATGCTCATTCAAACTGCCCTTAAGCAGAGTGCAGCACTGACTTAGAAATGTGTTACATTGAACTGTAGTGAAAGTCTGAGTAAAAAAGGGCATTAAAAAGCCTGTAGTTCTGGACAATATACCTTAATACCCTCTCTCTTACACAGGATATAGTACCCCTCAGAGAATTGCTTGTAAATAAAAACAAACTAGTGAAATACTTGGTTTTGTTAAGGGTTACACAGTAGTGAAAGTTGTAAAGAACAGTTTAAAGAAAGGTAAACACTGATTTCCATGAAAAGGAACAACCCTCTAACAACCTTTATTTAATTTGCTGCTACATAAGACTGCAGTCTCATTCTTGTGAACATCTTGTATGGAATACTACTTTCTACTGAAAAGGAGGTTTTCTCAGGTTTCAGAATCAGGCACAAACAGGGTCATATTTAGCACATTAGTTTTGGAGCTTTTCCAAAAACGTTGAAAAAAAGCAGTGTAAGAATGCAAGTACAAAGCATTAGAATCAACACAAAAATTAAGCAAATACAAAACAGCTGCAGTGTCTTTTGTAGTGTTTCCCCTTATTTGTAAAGCTTTAAAGATTATCCAGTGCTTATGACACCAGATTAAAAACTGAAGAGTCAGAAGTGTTTCACGCTCATGTTTAGCCTCATTAGCAGACACAGCAGGATTAATTGTACGAACAGTACAGTACAGTAGGTTACAGTAGGTTATTTATAGTGCTAGGGAAAGCTGGTGATACAAATGTGAACCTCAGGGCTGCGTATGGCTTTGTACTACAACATCTTTTAAAAGTGTTTCAAGAGTGGATTTTTTTTTTTTTTTTTTTTTTTTTCAGGGGAAGAGTGACTTTTTTAACCCCCTTGTTTTTCTCTCCTCAAGGAACCTCTCCGTTGCAACCTTTGCTTTAGTTGTAAAACTGAGACGGACAGTCTGCCCTGTTTGGCACTTACCAGTTCTTTCTAAAGGGGAGAGGCGGAAGAACGCGCCCAGAGCTCGAACCAGCGCGTTAGGAGAGCTCCGCGCCTCAGGCGTGCCCGGCTCCTCCCGGCGCTCGCAAGCGGCTCCCGGCCCCTCCAGCCCCGCGCCCGAGGGCGGCCGGCACCGCCCGGGCGGGAAACGGCGACCGCGGGGGGCCTAGGGCGGGGCGCTCCCCAGGGCGCCGCCAGCTCATTGGCTGCAGGTTGACCTCTGATTGGTCAACCGACCTGTCTGTCACGACAAAGGGTGTCCCAGGTAACGCAATGGGCGCTCCGCCGGCTCCCCCGCGCCTGAGGCGACCCCGCCGCTCCGCCTGCCCCCGTCCGGAGCCCACCCGCGCTGCTGAGGTAGCGCTGCGGCTCAGCCCCGTTCCGAGCTGTATGCGACACCCGCCCGGTGCTCGTGGGGCGCTCTGCCACGGGCCGCCCCCGGGCGGGGAAAAGCAGCCCCAGCGCAGCGGGGCGCGGCGGCGCTGCCCGGGCAGGCGGGGCGGAGGGCGGGGCTGTGCCGGGCTCAGGGCCGCTGCCTGCCGGAGTAGAGGCGCTGCCGGGCCGGGCAGCGGGGGGAGCGCGGGGGCCGGTCACTCGCGGCGTCAGCCCTGGGCCGGGCGACACAAAGACTCTGTAACGCGGTTGCCAGAGCGCCGCCGGTCGCCTGGTAACCGCCCGCTGCCGCTTTATCCGGGGGCGTCTCCTGACTGGGGGCGGGGTGGAGCTGGAGTCTCTGCGGGCGCTTGCCCGTCGTGTCCCGGGGCTCTTCTCGGCTCCGCTCCCGCTCCTATGCGGGCTGCGGCCGCTGCCCTCGCAGCACCCTGGGCCCTGGCGGGCGGCCCCTCCGGGCAGCGGGTCGCGTCCCAGCGAGCGCGCCCCGGCCCCGCCGGCGCTGCCCCGGAGCGCCATGAGCTCGGAGCCGCCCCGCGCCTCGCTACTCCGGGCCCTCTTTAAGATGGAGCCGGCGGCGGCCGCCTCCGAAGTGCTGGGGGGAGCCTCGGAGTTCGTGAAAGGTGAGAGCGGGGCGGGAGCCGCCCCATCCCCTGCTCGCGGGGTCCCGGAGCCTCCCCCAGCGGGGAAACTCGCTGGCTTCTCTACCGCCCTTCCCCGGCTTTGCTGCCTGCCCGGCTCGGCCCCGGCCCCTGTGCCCGGCAGGTTTCGCGGGCTGCCCGCCCCGGCTGCCGCGGGCACCCGGCGCTGCTCTCCCCGCGCTCCCGGGCCGGGCGCGGGGCCGGCACCTGTTGCTGCGCGCTGCTCGCAGGGTCGGAGCCGCTGCCGAGCGGCTCCCGGCAGCGCGGGGGGCCCGGCAGGGGCAGGGCCCGCGGGCGGAGCGCTCCGGGCGCTCCCGCCGCCGCTCACGCAGCAGAAAAAGGAGCGGCGGAGCCTCTTCCGCCCCGCGGTGACAGGCGTGCCCCGAGGCGGCGGCCGGCTGCCTTCGCTGTCCGACACTGTGCCTCTAATCTGTCTTTCAGATCGTTTGTACTTCGCTACTTTACGAACTAAACCGAAAAGTACCGTAAATACCCACTACTTCTGTACCGATGAGGAATTGGTCTATGAAAAGTAAGTGTTGCGGTTTGCATATTCAAAGTGATCACCTGAGAGTCTCCCCAACACACTTTGGTATATTCTGTAGAATATTTTTGTCCCCTTGGGTTACTTGCACAGAATATGACTATGAAGTTACTCCAAGTGTATTTATTTATTCGCTGAAACTAGTTTTAACAAGGTGACACTTAAAAAAAGACCCATACAAAACAACTGCAAGGCCGGTTAAATGGCTTAAATCGTGGTTGAGCTCAAAGTCTGAGCTGAGCCTTGGAAGATTTGCTTAAAACATGGAGGTCTATTTGGACTAATCACACTTTATTGAATGGTGTCTTAAATAGAAGACTTATTTGGCACGAATAGATAAACAGTAGTTTGTTTTATATTTCCTGTATTTTCCTGTATAGAGAGTATGAAGTTTACAGAATCCTAAGAATGCAATGTTTAGATGTGCTCTTGAAGAGCATCTGTAACTTCTTTTATAACTCTGGTTTTAGTACAGGGTTTTGAGATAGCACTTCTTGATGGCTTTTGTGTCTTTAGAACAGCAGAAAAAATATTTTCTGTGAAGTAAAAGGTTCATGTTCGTAATACACTGACTTCACACAGAAGATAAAAAATAAAACTGATTATAGTTGTGAATACTATTTAAGGACATAAAAAACATCAAACAAATAAAGCAATTACTCTGTGCTGTGGCTAAAAAGTTGGTGCTTTGGACTGCATCTCAAGACCAACTGTTTCCTGTGTGATGATATATCCCTACCTGCCTGACATGGAGTTTGCTGTAGCAGAAGCGAAACAAAAAGTGTGTTCCTATTTTAAGCATAACTTGCTTTCCAAATGACTTAAAGCAATTGTGAACATCAACCATTCTTCCCTCCTTTCTCCCGCAGCCAGTGCTGCTTCTGTGAAGATGTAAACCAATATTCCTTGGTTTTTAGCTTCCTTTTTTTGCACAGCTTATAGTTTCAGGGTATCTTTTCTAGATGTTTTATCTTAAGCTGTGTCTTCTACTGGAGTTCCCAATGGTTCATTCTGAAAGTTGACTTTTGTAATGGGGTGCTTGGGTTGGGAGTAAGTTCTTTAATGATCATTAAGGAATTTTGATTGGAAGGGACCTTTGAAGTATCCTAAGGGAGGGTTGACCTAATATTGAAAGCAGAACTCCACTGGGGAAGGTTCTGAGCAATTTGTGTGGTATGAAAGTGCTACACTTGCTTTAAGAAAGGAAACTTGTATCTCTTCCAGATTTCAATATTATGTTTATTTCTTAATGTGCTTTTAGGAAGTGTGAAGGGCTCTTGTGTGGCATTTGGTCTTGTGGGTAGGAAAGGGGAACA